ATGTATGTCCTTTCTTTACAGTTGTATTTCTTGCTTTAACATTGACTGGCTCTACCTGCTGTCACATACCCAAAAATGCCCCTTCCTTAAGTGTCTGCTCACAATTAAAGAAATTGGCCACTGTTATAGGTACTACTTGATGACCTGCCACAAGTGACTTTCCAATCCCGTTTCCATCCTTCTTTTTTCCTCTTTTCAATCCCACTTCTGACACTAATTTGTTGAGTGTTTGCTTGTTTGTTAATTTCCGGTATAAATTCTTTCCGAGGAGCTTAAGCAATACAAGTCCCTTCTTGATTAAAACTAGTTTATTCTTTCCCGATACAACTTTGTAATACACAGAATTTCCACAGTCATATGTAACTTAACAGCCTTTATAACATGCGCTATAAATCACAGTGATTCACACACTTTACTTATGGTGCCTACTATTTGCTTGACTCACTTATCTATCTCTTCACTCTATCTATCTCTGTAATTGTGCTGGTTTTCTCGCCAGGCTTATATACTAAAATAGAGGGAGTCTAGCAAACACTCGGACATTCACGAAGTTCCCCAATAAGTCATGATCCTTCTAGAAACTCCAGCGTGCATACCCCCAGTGTCACGTGACTTCCGCTGTCATGTCCATTATTATATATATAATAATTTAATGCATCTATTTCACTTCTGGTCAGTCATCCATAGTCATAAATGGATAAAGCGTGTGGTAATAGCACCCAAAAAGCATTGGGGATATCCCAACTATCAAGCAAAATCCAAAAATGCCAAAGTTAAACAAGTTGACCATCATGGAAAATTAAAACAAGGGTGCAAAGGTGAGAGCTTAAACCCAAAACGTCTCACCTCCTACTGCCTTTCACTGTCTTCAAACAGATATGGGAAGGTAGTTACCCTTAAGTTATGCACGTTCTAAAAGTAAAAACAGAACCACCAAAAAAATTTCTACACTATAAAACTCCCAACCACCTCCCTTATAAAAAATAAAAAAGTAAGCAAATTACTTATAAATTGTCAAAAACTTATTTAAGTATGACATGGAAAAGCTGAGGCAGGCCCAGCTACTTTTAATTGATCTTTCGAGTCCCAGCATACTGAATAAAAAACTGGTTTTATAAATAAGTTGGTCATTCAAGATCACCCTTCATAAAGTAAAGACCTCTAAGTAAGGAGTTTTCGATGATTGAAAGTTTATTATTTACCCCTTTTGAGACAGGTCACTGGTGAAAGGCCATGTCATCTCATTTGTTGACTTCCATTCAAATTTTATTGAACTACTATTTCATGAATTTATGTCAATAAGTTTGGTATCAAACTGTAGATTATAATTCAAATGTTAGTACTATACATTACTCAGTTTCTTAATTTAAAAATAAATATTAAAAAATAAACATAAATTTTTGTGTGTCACGTGGTATGTTGAATGCAA